ACATCAAAGGTCAGGCCCTGCGCTTCCATGAGCCCTTCGCAGGAGCCGCGATTCGTACCAGGTTGGTCAGCAGCTCGAGACGGCGCGGGCTCTAGCATACGAGGTGAGCGCATCGCCGCTACGCGACGCTCGCACCTGCGACGCGAGGACGACCCGCCACGACTGGATGCGCTGCAGCAACGCCGACATGGCCACGGAAATGATCCGGTTACGCCCGAGGGTATCCGGAATCTATACGTGGCAGCGAGAGCGAACGAGAAAGCAAACGGAGGTGGGATTGAAAACATCGAGTTAGTTGAGATTGAGGAGGAACGCCGCGCCGTTGAGGACCCAGTGGTCGGGGTTCTGGCGCGTCGGGAGGTACACGGCGACGACAAAGTTGGTCGACATGCCGGTGGTCGAGAGCGTGCCCTGGCGCACCGACGTCTTGTAGACGGGACACGGGTACTCTTCCTTCTTGCGGAGGATGTTGGCTGCGGGTAGGAAATGCACCATCGCCATCGGCTACAAAAGCACTTGGAGACCGTGCATCGCCTGAAGGAGCGTACGCTGAACATTTCGCCTGGCCGCGCTTCTTCCAAGCAGCGCTTCTTGCCATTCCATCGAGCCCCCTACCGCGCCACGTGAGATCATATGCAGCTCCGAGAGAACGTACCTCGAGCCAGAGACCGTCGACGTAAATGCCGTCGGCAGGCGATTCCGAAATGTCGGATGCCGGCACGTCCATGACAGAAAACGTAAAGCCCAAACAGTCGATGGCGGTCTGGTACTTGCGGGCAAAGTTCTGGAGCGTCCCCGTCATGAACCCCTAATGGTCCAGTTCCTGAGACAATTGAACGACCCATAAGTCGTACTTGAGGAAAGAAGAAAGCTGGCAGCGGAAAGACCACGGGCTCGCCGTTCACGAGCCACGTGCGGAAGAAGGCGACGCGTCCGAGGAGATCCTGGACCCACGGCCCGAGGCTCTTGAGGGATGCAAAGCTCACCACTTCCCAAATACCGGGCACCTGCACCGCGACATCATGTTGATAGCGTTTCTAGTGAGAGACCACCCGTACCTTTCCGTTCAAGAAGGACGTGTACATGTTGTCGAGGTCGGACGACATGACAATGAGCCCTACTCTTTTTAGTATGGCACGCACGCGACAAAGTACCTTGGATCGCGCGCTGAATGTCGGTGAGCGATGCGCGCATTTTCACAAGGAGCTTGTTGAACTTGACGAGCTCTTGCGAGAGCACGGTCGCGAGCGAGTCCATGACGACCGTGCCCAGCACCGTGCGCGTCTTGAACGTCGACGGTCCGGCTTCGTCGAGCCGGAGGTTGCCGGGAAGACTCGCCTGGATCGACGCTGCGAGCTCCAAGACGCTGTCGTCGTTGCTGACGCCGCCGCCACCGTCGCCCAGCACCGTGCGCGTCTTGAACGTCGACGGTCCGGCTTCGTCGAGCCGGAGGTCGCCGGGAAGACTCGCCTGGATCGACGCTGCGAGCTCCAAGACGCTGTCGTCGTTGCTGACGCCGCCGCCACCGCCGCCGTCGCGCGGCTCCAAGCTCAAGATGATGTTGATCATCTGCGCCGATTCGTTGCGCTCAAAGGTGACGTTGGCGTTCTCGTGCATGCCAAAGATCTCGGGACTCGCGTGCGCCGGGAGGTTCTCAAAGTACGAGACGACGCTCGCCAACTCTGGCGTCGACGGCGCGTAGTATGTGCCGGATGCAGAGAACCGGTAGCTGTCCTGGAGCACGCCGGGCGTGTAAAATCCGTTGAGAATGCTCGTCAAGCAGCGCCGGTCCCAGTCGTCGGTGACGCGGCCGCCATAGTTGATTTGACCTACATCGACTGAGTGACGTCGTTCGTTGTTTGGCAAGAAGAGACAACCGGTGACGTAGCGCAAGGCGTCCCACGGAATGGTCGGTTGCTCGAGGAGGAACTTTTTGAGGCACTCGTACGACGTCTCGAGGTCCGTATCATTGAACTCGTACTTGATGTTCCAGCCAAGGGCGCCTATTGGTGTCGCATCGAAGGCAAGCGATGGGACGGACGAGCTTTACCAAACTTGCGGCGCTCTTGGATGATTGCATGGAAGAAGACGAGGCTCGCGAGTAGTTTCTTCCACACCTGGCTCTTGGTCCACGTCGTGCCGCCTTCCTCAAACGAGCCCGCTACATATCCCATCCAATCTATCAAAGTATCAACGTATCGAGGGACGTACCGCCCTCAAACGTCTCGAAGAAGCGCGGGTCAGCGCTCTGCAGCATCGCAAAGGACCGGATGAGGTTGGCGCGGATGCCTTTCGGCGGCTCGTTGGTGAGCTTGATGCCGTTTTGGAGGACGGTCACGGGAAAGTACGCGGCCGGAAACGACGTGAGGAAGAGTCGGAACGAGTCTTGCACGCCGGGATCGGACGCGAGGTCGTCGACCTTCTTCTCCAGCGACGGCATCCACGACTTGGCCAAGTGGCAGTTTTGTAAAAGCACCCAGTCGCCAATCGACTTGCTCGTCTATCATCAGCTCAGCTCTTACTCTGCGAGAAGGAGATACCTCGATGAGTGCTTCGGCGCGGGGCCCTTGGCCTTGCCCGAGCGAAATCAGGTGCAGCCGGTCGCTAAATTGGCGGTCCTTGGCGAACCGCAAGAGCATACCGGTCGGGTCGGCGCCTGCCATCCATCGCATGAGACACACAAAGCACTTTTCACGCACCGGCGCTCAAGACAAAGATGCATGGCGTCTTCTTGTCCGTGTCCTTGTAAATCTCTTCCATCGAGACGGTCCCAAGCTGGCCAAATCCACTCGCCATCTCAAGGGTCAGCATATGCAGCAAGCAGCGCTGGACTTTTTCCTGCGCGAGCCCCTTCATCAAAAGCACGTTCTGGAACGACGAGAGCCGAGCGCCAATCCCGCGCGGACTCTTCATCGGGTTGGGCACGTTGTCGCTCGACTGGAGCCACGCTACCCAAAGATCCCACTCACCCACGAGCGAGTCGACGAGGCCTTCGGCTGGCGCGCCGACAACGACCTCCATTTCCTGGAGCAAGGCCCACTGTGCGTCTGTGATGGTATCGGGCGCCGGGTTGGGGACTCCCTACACCAACGTGATCGACATACAGGACAGAAAAAAGAGGCGTACGTGCTTGGCGCCGTTGACGCCGCGCAGAAAAAGCGACCACTCGTTCGGAGCGATGCGGCCGTCGTAGAGCATGATCTTGCAGCAAATGAGGACCGAGAAGAGGACCTTGTGCACTTCAAAGAGGCCGCGGCAGATGTTGGTGTAGATGTACGTCGTCTGAAAGTCGATGAGCATCGCGAGGCGTGCCGAGAGCACGGCCGATGGCGGCGTCGCGTCAAAGCAAATGTTGAAGAGCCGCTGGAAGAACGGCAGCGAGTACTGGTACATGGGGTCGATGGTGGCGAGCTGCGCGACGACAAAGTACAAGATCGAGCCTCTCGTGGCCACGCTGCGGTACTCTTCGCGCGTCTTGTTGATCTCGAGCTCGGTGGCCTCCGACTCTTGCACGCGCTCCTACGCTGCATATCAGAACATCGATTCCAGCGCTAAGGAACGTGCTTTGATGATTTTGGACGTCGCGTTCGAGGACGCGAGCGTGTCGATGAGGCCTTCGTCGTCGAGAACGTTGCCGGACGATTCCGAGAGCTTCTGCAGAATGCGGTCTTCAATGTCCTTGAGTTGCTTCTTGTCTTGGGCCATCGTCACGACGAGGCGGTTCTTCTTCTCTTCAATGTCGGGGCGTTCGTGCTTGACGGCGTCGCCGAGCAGCTGGTCTTCGAGCCCCGTCATCGTCACGGTAAAGTTGATGATGGTGACTTTGATGTACACCTCGGGAAGGTAGTGCGGGTTGGCGCATTTCGTTGTGATCCAGAGCCGGAAACTTGGGTCGTAGTCGACGTCGCTGTCGCCAAGGTGGATGAGGAGCCGGCCGCCTTGCTTGAAAATCGCCTTTTGAAGAATCGGCTCGAGCGACGGCTCGAGCGTCTCTTCAATGTCTTCGATCAGAAGCGACTTGCCATTCTACCCAAAGACGTGTCAACCGTATGACATCCGTGGTCACCGTACGCGAATGCAGCTCTCGAGCGACCGGAGGAGGTTGGCGTTGGTCATCTTGGTCGCCTCTGGGACGTACGTCTTCTTGATCCACTTGTTGGCCTGTCCTTGCGGGTCGATCATGAGCGGCCAGCGCTCGCCGCGCGTCGCGAGAATCGCATTGTCGGTCGAGTTCATATCGGTGGGGAGACCGTTGAGCTGCCACTCGCGCACTTCGACGGGGGAGCCGAGCGTGGCCGCGAGTGAGTACTTACTCTTGGAGCTCGGAATCGCCCGCGCATCGCACTCGGTTAGCCACGCGTCGACCATTTGCTGGCGAAAGCTACCGGTGAAAGCGCCATAGTAGCTAATACTCGCTGCGGCGAGGAACGTGTCGCCAATGACGGCGAGAACGCCTTCGACGAGGCTCGCGACGGTCTCCTTCCAGCGTTTGCCTTCGACGCTGAGACCCGAAATGAGCTTCTCGGCGCGCACGAGGCGCTTCTCGGTCGTGCTGGCCTCGCGCGCGAGGGCATCCTTTTCATCGAGCGTGTCCTTGCACTGCTTCTCGAGCATCATGACGTTCTCGTTGACCTTGCGAAGCTCGTCTTGCTTGGTCTTAAGCACTGCGTTGGCGGCTTCGAGCTTGGCGTTCATCGCATCGAGGTTGGCTTTCTTCGGCCCGACTTCTTTGGCGACCTTGGAGTAGACGTCCATCGCGTGCGCCCACATGCAGAGCGACGTGGCGGCCTTGGAGAC